CTGGTGCTGAGGCTGAGCTGAGAGAAGGAGTGAGAAGGCTATGCGGTGGTGATGTGAACTACTGGGAATGTGTGGACGTACTGAAGATCCACAAGAAGCTGCAAAGTTCGTTGAAGCCTGTAAAGAAACACTGGAGAAGGGCGCAAGAGCAATGGCAGATCTGCTGAGGGAGGCTGACGTGGAAACGAAGAAGTTTGGGAGTTTGAAAGGCCTCAATGGCTTGGTTGGAAAGCTGTGTCGAAACGCTATTATGGTTACCTATCCCAACCCACTGACGGAGTACCTTCTGGCGGTGTCTCAGACTGACGCCGACCTGAGTGCTCTACGAGCGGTCGTGCAAGGCGCCACCACACCTGCTGTGTTGGACGATGATGATTCTGTCGAGGTTGATTTAGGTCAGGGTGTTGTGATTGATAGTCGGACGCTATCACCTGACTATAGAGGCTGGGCGGTCTTCCCCTTGTTGTCTTGTGTGAACCACTCGTGTCGACCTAATATGGAGATCGAGTTCTCTGGTGATGGAGCAACGCTAGTGGCAAATGTGTCAGAGTCGGGGTCGATAGCTGCTGGCGAGGAACTCATGATCAGCTATTGTGACATTGAAGAGGATTCAGTTGGAGAAAGACAAAAGCAACTTGATCCGTATGGATTCATCTGCAACTGTGAACGATGTTGCAAGAGGGCTAGGAAGGCCTAGGCATTAGAACACTCTGTGTTGAACTACACTATGTTTGGTTGTCAATACGGCAGCTCTGGACAGAGAGCTCACTTCTGTGGAGATGGGCAGATCGATGAGGATACTACTGAGACAAGGAAAAGACTAGCTGATGGAGTACACTGAGATGGTCGATGAGAGTCGACACCTATACGCACGCAGCGTACGTATAGGTAGTGTGTGAAACGGGTCTGAACGCGGACCCAATCGCATGGGTCACACTTAACCTTCAAAAACAACTTGCGTATGGTACGCGGGTGTTGATATTCTGAGTTGAGACTCGTAGAAGTGGTCGAGTGGGCAATGCAAAGCTCAGCGTGTCTGAGGCGAAGTGTTATGGATGGCGATCGAAGTATCCGGTGACTGGAAGAACTCCCATTGCAATGGGCCTGTAACTTAGGAGGCCTTCCTTACAGAAGGAGCGTGAGGAATTCATATTTTTAAGGTGCGCCTTAAGGAGCAATTCCTAAGTTACAGGCCCAATGTTCTTCCCGTTCGGCATACTCAAACAAAAAGTTCATATTCACCGTGAATAGACCATCAGATTTGCTTTTGCTTGTTTGCTTTCTTGTATACTCAAGATTTGTCGCAGAAATTATGATGTGAAATTAAGAGAAAACAAATTCCCTATTTGCCTTTGGAGACTCACAAATGACAGCTAAGGTACACAGACAAGAATGTCATGTGAAGCTGTGGTAAATGTAGAGGAAGTTCTGCAGTTGTCCCGACCTCGGCGTCCGTAGCCCTCCCGATCTTCGCGATAATATGGCTACTCCACTCTGTGTATACCAGGGCCGTCTGTGTCACAGTGGAGGTCGTCGGTACGCGACGGTCATATACTACCGGTTCACTGCATACGATATTTCTCCTTCAATCGATTCAACATGAGACCCCATATCTCGTCGAGTAAGCAGTCACAAGTTGTGATTGCAAGATGGCACTGGAAGGCCTGAGGCTTCTGATGGGCGCTTCAGTTTATGTTTTGCACTCCGATTCAATACTGATAGGAAATCCGTCCGGGTCTGAAATTTCATCGAGTGAGTATTACGAATTCTGAAGTTCCCAATTTTGTTGTTTCAATCATCAGTTCAACAGTGACTGTTTTGCATGCAATGCCTTGAATTTAAATTTCTCAGAAACTCGGGCTCGTTACGACGGTATTGGTACAATTTGCTTCGTAGAACTCTACAGACTATTGACCGTCGACGTGTACAAAGGTTCACAAAGTGATGAACTTGATGACAAAGTAGATACCACAATAGAGCTTATGTAACCATGATGATGTCAGGAATAACCACAACAATCACAATACCAACAATCACAATACTCGAAGCAGTTACGAACCGAGTCCGCTGCTTGACCGTTAAGCCTTAAATTAGCGGCTAGTTCAACGCTAGGAGATAACAGAACACAGTTATGGAGACTAGGGACACACACAAAATGTGTGACACAATAACTTGGTGTCAATTAACGCCTATGAATGCCGTTGCTGCTACATCATGTCCACACGGGTCATACGTCCTCAAATACAGCTGCAGATTTCTGATCAATTGGTACCAATTTCTGATGTTTGACCAGTGATCTCTTTATATCAATGTTTGACACTCTGTATCAAATTCAAGATCCTAGCTTGCGCCGAGGGCTGGGTTGTATATCAGTCTCGTAGACGTTTAGAGCAGTAGAGCTGTGGGCGAGTGAGAATATATTCCTTGTTGTCCGATACTGACTCCTCCTTCTTCTTCTTTTGAGTACTAGGAAGCGGCACGGCCACGTGAGCCCTATAGCCGCCTCTGTTGCTCCCAATAAATAGTGAACAGACTGCCTCAGTGGAGCTCAATGGCGTTTTAACCGACCAGTAGCCTTTATAAACCGCTCCAGATGGAGAGCCAAAACCCTATCCTCCAGTAGGAGATCCCCGGATGGAGGAGGCCAGCAAATGCCGCGCAACTTCACGGCATCAAAGAACTCGCGTCTATGCTGTGTCCAATTATCGCACCGGAATAGAAAGTGAGAGAAGTCCTCGTCTTCCCCCGACTCGCAGAATGGGCATGACACAGTGCCATGATCAATTTTCGACCGTGAGTATCTCAACTGGTTGCGACCGCAGACGACTTCACGTATGGCATTGTAGCGCTCTAGACTGCGAAAGGCCCGCATCGCCGTAGCGGTGGGGACGAAGAATTTGAAGGAGCGGCCGAGTTCTTTCACGTCCTCTCCATACGAGCTGTCAGAACGGTTTGCGAGCCACTCAGATGCAGCACGAGATAGGGCTGTAAATCGAACCGCCAA